TCTATGAGTATATACAGCATTTTTAACATTTGTATTTGTTATTGTTTTATCCTGTTTTGTTTCTTTTATATTGTTTTCAGATAATTTTCTTTAACCTTTATAAAAAATTATATTTTAGAAAAACAAATGTCTGAGTTAAGAGAACAAAGTTGTACTGTATGATTCACAATTTGTTCCTCCATTAATATGAAGCCAGGTAGTTCAAAAAAATAAGAGCTATGAATAATAACATTCTAAATGAACGAATATACTTGAAGTGGCCACTGAAAATGACAACACGTAATAATTATTTAAAATAAATGTGAGCATTTTTCAGATATAATTCAGCTGTTCAGCCGTTTAGAATATCACTGAAGTATGAAGACTTGCTTTAAATATTTCATCACAGAGCAAACTACATAACTCCTGAGACATTTCTGCTGCAGTGCCTAACATGTGTGAAAATATCTTACATGAAAACCTATGGCAAGAGGTGCTATTCAGCTAGTTAATTTATAAGAAAATAATAATTCCTAAAACAGTAGTGTTTTTATTCCCTAGTCATCAACATCTGGAAAGAGTCAGCAACTTCCAATTCAGAGCTTAAAGATTAGCTGATGCTTAACCTTGTTCTATTTTTTAAAGATTTGTAATTCTACAAAGTTGATGCACATAATTAACAAAACAGGTTTTTAAAACAGTTCTGTGTGGTATTATATTTAATAATATAGATGCAACATTAAAATACTCAACAGATTTTTCAAGATTCCTAAATTCTCTGGATTGAAATTACACTGCCTTTAAAATGGAAAAATTAACTCCATTCTTAGAGAGGTGATTAGAAGGAAGTGGGGACAATTTTAGCAAGATCGGTCTTATCTGATTACTTGCCACCACCTTCCAACAAAAGGATAGAACCACAAGTTTTATCTACTGAATAAATGTGAAGATTGTTTTATACCTAGTAATGGTCTTGACTTCTTGTAAGTAACCAGTTTGGCCTAGTGGTTAAGGCACCAAGCTAAAGATTGTGAGGTCTAGTCCTCTCTTAGGTATAAAAGCCAGCTGGGTGATAGTCTCAATTCATTTCATAGGGTTGTTGTTGTGGGGAAAATAAGAGGAGGAAGTTGTGTAAGATATGTTTGCTGCCTTGAGTTATTTATAAAAACAATAAAGGCGGGTTACAAATAAAATAAATAAACAAACAGTCAGCATACATCATAATGCTTCTATGAGTATAGCATTGCATATACATTCAGAAGAATACAAAATGTTTTCCCCTTAAATTTGTGTTTTAAACTGATGTATCTCTCTGTGCATTTTGATTGAAATGCCCTTGGCTAAATCAGAACTAGACAAGACATGGCTTTTCAGAAGTTGCTGAACTTTATTTCCAGCAGGCCCAGCCATAAAGGATCCTGGCAAGGGGCACAGGGAGACATAGTCCAACAACATCTCAGGTGAATCCGCCCACTATGGTTTATAATACGAACACAGGCAACATATTTGGTCATGCCTACCACAAGGAAAAATGAGATATGAAAGTCTAAAGAGTGAAGCAGAATTTTGGCAGGAAAGGATGTCGTTGTATTTCAGGGAGGATTAAAAATTAATAAAAGTTTAAGTGAGCTTTTTGAGGCCAGACTTTTTAAAGCAGGACAAAATATGTCACATACATCATTGGCCTGCAGTTGCTTTCCATGACTAGAAAGTTATTTTTGAATTTAATTATTTTTTGAATTTATTTTTTGTATACAAAAAACCGTACACAATAACATTTTTCAACCATATGGTATTTACAATAGTATATGCCATTTAATTCTGTTTCTTGTACTAATTCCTAACCAAACCAAGTCCTTTCTTAGCCACCAAGCTAGATACAATGTGTATTTTTTCTATCATCTCTCTCTCTTTCTCCCCTATCTCTCTATTTTCTACCTATCATCTGTCTGTCTGTCTGTCTGTCTGTCTGTCTGTCTATCTAATCCCTCTATCCATCTCTCCTCCTTCTCTCTCTCTCTCCTTATATCTATTATCTAGCTATGTAGCTATCTAGCCACATTAGCTTTGTTAGGTGTAGTAGACGAATGCGGATACACATTTTAATCAATGCAGTCTTATGTTACTTGGAAAAGATCACAGAATATCAAGATACTCTGGATCTTGGTAGTTAGGAAAACATCCACAACAAGAGAGCTTTGCTGTGGTAGTTCCCCTGACCAGCAGCAAATAAAGCTTAGTTGCCTTGTTTGTCACAAGATGAACAAACAAACAAACAAACAAACAAGCCAATCCTCAAATTTAAACTTATTTTGTGCATAACCTATAAACCTATATAACCAATAAAACCCGAATCTCGAACATGGCAGTTTTGTATGCCACCATTTAGCTTCCATATATAGATTGCCTACAGGAACTTAACTTTTATTTTTGATTGCTTAAAAAAAAAGAAGAAGACTTCACACATCGCAAAGCAGAGCAGCAGCCTCAGGCATAGTCTGAAGTTTCAGCAATGTATCTATGCTTTTGGGAAAATGAACTGGAAGCACGCTGGCATGATGGGGGCAAAGGTTAGGAAGGAACATCGCAAGCTTGCTTTCCAATAAGCAAATATAGGCATTTTGTAAGAATGCCTATCAGATGTTCATCCAACATTTGTTATGGGTTTTCCTCTTATTTGGAAGAACCCATCAAAATGGATACTGATTATGTATCATCAAGTGCTAAACAAATAATAGATCAAATGGTGTATATAATCAATCACATACTTTTAAAAATATATTAATTTTAATCTAGGAACTTTTTTACTTTAAAAACTGTTTAAATCCTACCCTGCTTTCAAATATATCAACAAATTATTTCACCAAGAGAAAGAATAAAAAAGAAAATTATAAAAAATTGTAAAATTATAAAATTGTATGAAATACATGGAATATCTAAGACAAATATCTAAGGCAAAGTCTTTATTCTATAAATTTTGCAGAGAAAACATCTGTAGCTTTCTTTCCACTGTCCTCCCATGGCATATACAGAGAAACCTTACGTCTATTCTCTATATGGAAGCTGAGTGGGGAGCTAAGTAACAGAACAGACTGCAATTCTTAAGACTGAGAATATGCCCCAAATATCTGTTTAACCTGTTTTCCTGCAGTTCACGAGGTGACACAAAAATATGCTAGCATAATTTTGTCTGTTCCAGCAGCTGAACTCAGTTTTGCAATAACAAAATCAGTTAGTGACACTGTACTGGCAGCTTTTATGGGAAACAAGTTAAAGAACGTGATTGTTGGATCTCTTGCTGATGAGAAGAACATCATTTATTTGTTCTTACTATCTATCTATTTATCTATCTATTTATCTATCTATCATCTATCTTATCTATCATCTATCTAATCTATCTAACCTTATCTATCTATCCATCCATCCATCTATCATTTCTCTCTCTCTCTCAATCTGTCAATTTATCTCTATCCCATTTCTATACTGCCATCACATTTGCATGACTCTGAGCAGTTTACAAATAATACAGTAAAAGCCGTAGTTAAAAACAACATTAAAAATAGAATTAAAAAGAACTGAAAATCAAAAAGGCAGAGAAAATACCTTCAATCCATCAACCATCCCCAAGGCTGCGTGACACTCTTAGACCCCATGTCAGCTGGCAGAGCCAGGTTGTGATGCTTTTCCAAAAGGCTCAGAGAGAGGGGCCCCTCTTGTCCTCCACGGGCAAGATGTTCTGTGGTTGCATAGTTCTAACTCTATACCGGGAGATGGAACTTTTGACCATTTGTTTTAGTAATTGCCTGTCAGAACTCAAGGATGACTGGAAGTTTCCTGCTTCTACTTGGGTACCTGCACTCAACCCTTGCTAAGGTAGTGCACCCCACCCACCTTGTAGATAATTTGTGGATTATCTTTCTTGCTTCAGCTTATTTGTCCCTCATGTTCTTTTACTGTCATGCCTTTCTCTTCTACTCCTGCTCTGTCTCTTGCCCTTCTCTTTTGTTCCCCTTTCTCTTACTTTCTGTCCTGCTGTCCTTCTGTCTTGTTTCTCTGTTGCTCTCTTGCTTTCTCTTTCATTCGCTGCCTCCATTGCTCTTTTTTAAAAACACCTGTTGAGAGATGTTGGGATGAGTTTTGTGGGAGGATTCTGCCACTTCAGTTTTATTTCATTGGTATACCAACTGGGCACTGATTGTCTGTAAATAAGTTGGCATACTGTGCATCAGATGTCTGGTCCTGATACAGGGGTGGGATATGATAGGGTTAACTACCGGTTCGGGATTTACGAGCTTTCCTGCAGGCTGCGAGCTGCGTGCCTGTAAATCATCATCAGTAGCTGCCTGCAGAGAAGCAGCCTTTGAAACAGCCCTCTTTTCTTGCTTTTCTAACTGCAGCTGTGCCTCTTTCGGCAGCTGAAGTTGAAAAATCAGGAAATAAAGATCAGGTAAGAGCCCAGGGGGGTGGGTGGGCAAAAACATCAGCAGACATAGAACCGGTTCTATGTCTGCTGCTCTTCAGAGCTACCAGTTTTTATTTTATTTTATTTATTTATTTATTTGATTTGCCAATTGTTTACAAGATAATAAGTATAAGTGTATACATAGTTGTGAATACATGAAATATAAGAAAAATAAAAGAAGAATAAGAGAAACAATAGGACAGGGACGGTAGGCACGTTGGTGCGCTTATGCACGGCCCCTACAGACCTCTTAGGAAAGGGGTGAGGTCAATAGTAGACAGTCTAAGGTTAAAGTTTTTGGGGTTTGGGGTTCTACAGAGAGTAGATTTTTAGAGAGTAATCTTGTTGATATAGAGAGAGAAAGGGGGAGAATGGGAGAGAAAGAGAAAGAAAGAGAAAGAATAAGAAAGATGGATAGAATTTTGAGCTCTTTTATAACACTTCTAATATTTTGCTGAACTGGAAAGAATAAACTCAACCTGCATATAGAGTTGGGAAAGGATTAAACAGCAGAATAAAGTCAATCTATTTTCATTTAAATAAAAATAAGGGTACATACCTAAACTGAATAGCACCAAAAATTTGAGACATACAAATTCTCGTAGATCAAACTGTAGAGATCGTAGTTTAGCTACCAGCTCCTGTGCATGGCTCATGAGACTGTTCAGGGTGGCACCTGCTTGCGATGCGATTACGGAATAATCCACCTGTAAAAGGGCACCAGAATTTGATGACTTTACTTAACCAGGTACATCATTTTTTTAGTTCATACATTTGTAAATGGATTCCTTTTACCATTGAAGTGCTGGGACACAAGGAAGACAAGGATAAATACATACATCTGCACATAGTTTTCGGTTTTGACCATTTCCTCCCCTGAAGAACTCTGAACCACGCCTTCAATTTTGATGAGAATTGTCATCACACATTCAGTATTTAGGCAGCAATATATACAAAGATCTATCTATCATATCTATCTTTATATCTATCTATAGAATAGAATAGAATGAGCTGGAAGGGACCTTGGAGGTTGTCTAGTCCAGCCCCCTGTTCAAGCAAGAGAACCTATGTCATTTCAGATAAGTGACTGTCTAGACTGTTCTTAAAAATACCCAGTGATGGAGCACCCACGATTTCTGGAGGCAAGCTGTTCCACTGGTTATTTCTCCTTACTGTTAGGATGTTTCTCCTTAATTCCAGGTTTCTTCTCTCTTCAATTAGTTTCCAACCATTGTTTTTTGTCCTGCTCTTTGGTGCTTTGGAGAATAATTTGCCCCTTCTTCTTTGTGGCAGCCCCTCAAATACTAGAATAATGCTATCATGTCACCCCTAATTCATCCATCCATCCATCCACCCATCCACCCACCCACCCACCCATCCATCCATCCATCTATCTATCTATCTATCTATTATCTAGTTGGCTTCCCAAAATTTAATCATCATTTCTCAGAAAAAGGATCAAATTGACTAGATAACACCTGCCTTAGTTTTGTGAGGTTATTGTGAGGATAAGAAGAATTAAACATGTATCTCATCCTATCTTATCTATTCTTTTTGTTCTCAAGAGGTAGGCTGAAATAAAATCTTAGCCTTTCTAGGTAAACATACTGTGTACACATATACATGCCTCTTACTGTCATGCAATGTTTTTTAACACCACATTTCATCTGTTAATATATTGTTTCATTTGTGTACCCCACTCTGAGATAAAGTCTTCTATTTGTAAAACTGTGATATGAATACTATTGCTTATATAATCAGATTATATCATCCCAACTCAAAAGCAAAATATGAACAAGTTAGGGAATATCATAAGCCTTAACAAATATTAGAAATCAATAAAGGGAAAAAATTAAAGGATTTGGTAATCGTAAAATCAATAAGGAAGTGTATTTTTTAAGAGACATGTTTTAAGAGGAATGCATAGCTGAATGACCGGGTAGTGAACAAGAGTATTTTGAACTACAATATTTTATTGCAGAATGACTTATTTAAATCAACCTTCTACAGCTTAATGAATAACAAATGTGCTGGAGTTCTATTTCCAGATATAAGAAGTAATTGATTATTAACTGGAGATATGTTTATTTGGATGTTCTGTTTAAATTATCTTCATGACTGTTCTTAAAGCTACTATTCAAATCTACCTGGCTTCAATGTGATTGTCTGTCTTATCTTAAGACAATAGAAAGTAGGTATTTTTTTCACAAGTTAGAAAACCAAGATAATTACATTTAGGTGGGGAATGAAAGCAAACTCAATGTTTTAAGTTACGTTTATGTTGAGTTACCTTTCTTCTCCCTTGTTCTTGTTCTTGTTCATGAACTATGGATGAAATCACATTTGAATATATGAGGTTCACAAGTTCATTTGCAGCATAAATAAATGATCTTAAATACTATGACCATTTAATACAATATTTGTTAGCTGTAACTAGCAAACCTAGGATTGCTGCAAAGATAGGCTTAAATGCTGCCAATTTCCCCTCTGCAATTTGTTGAGGAAATATATTGGAAAAAGATTGTCCCTTGATAAGGTGACCAATTATACTTTTTTTCTTGCTTGCTTGATTTATATCCCATCTTTATTATTTTTATAAATATCTCCAAGATGCTAGTTGTCTATGGAGATTCTCAGTCATCCAGGTCATGGTTGTCCCAAAGATGGTTTTTCAAGAGACATTTCATTTCTCATCCAAGAAGTTTCTTCTGGATGTAAGAACATCATAATTTATGCTGCAAGTCTTAATATTGTAGCTAAAATAATAGGGGCCACTAATTTGTTTTATCATAGAAGAAGCGTCTTGGATGAGAAGGGAAACGTCTTCAAGGAAAAACAAAGACAGCTTCTTGAATACCACCTTTGGGTCAAAGTGGTAGATTTACCTAATACTCCTTCCTCCTCCTATTTTCCCTTCCACAATAGCCCTGTGAGGTGGGCTGGGGTAAGAGAGAGTGACTAGCCTAACGTCAACCAGCTAGCTTTAAGAGAAAACATCATCTTCTCTTTCTAATAATAAATCAAGATTTTCTAATGAAACTCATGAATACTGGAACCATACTCTTCCAATGATAATGTAAAGGGAAACCCCAATAGATAGATTCTTTTACCCACTGCTGGTGGACTCTTAGGCACTAACTCCTCTTTCAGATGCATTTAATATTTGCCGAACCAGCATATTTGTCTGGGAGGCAAGTCTTCATCTGCCACTCAGCCAGAGCCGACTGTATTAAATTTTTATATTTATTGACATTTCATTACCATAATTGACCGCACTTGGTTCCCTGGTAGAAGGCACGGGGATGCCTCCTAAGCAGGAGAATTGGTCCCCTGAGTCAGATTTGCAATTAAAAACAAGGCAGAATGGATTTTTTTTATTGTGTAAATATGATGAGTTGAATTTTCAGCTTTAGCTAGAGAATACGGAGAGCCAAGAAAACCTTTTTTTCACGAGTGAGCAAAATTATGACTCAGTGGAAGGATGACCCCCAAAGGTGTCAATCAGTTTATATAAACTCAACGGTGCATGAAAAGCTCCGGTTAATGTCTCTTGGAGTGGGGGTAGGGGGGAGAGTTCCTGTTAAAGAGAATATTATTTCTGCTACCTAGTCAATGGCCTATTTGTCTATGAAAGAAACAAATCCTTTGGAACTAATATTTAACTCAGAATGTATGATTGAAAATCATGGAGGGGAGGGAATGGGGGCTGAATCCTGATGTTGATCCAGAGAGAAATTTTAATCACGTATTTAAGACTTATCCTTAACTGTATTTGTTGAACAATTTGTTACAGAACAGCCTCTGTGAGATGATTTGTATGTTATAACATTGCCATTAACAGAAAAAGAGATTTGGATTGCTGTTCTGGGACCCCAAGAGACAATGTTGTAGAAGCTAAGGATAATTCCAATTTTTCCCTTTGAGATCTAAGAAGAATGACAACCTCAGAGTGAAAATGCAATACTAAAAATATTTGGGATTTATAGGAGTTGCAGAACAATATATCTGGACTGTCACTGTCTGGAAAAACTGTATAGGTAGTCGTTGACTTGCAACAGTTCATTTAGTGAACGTTCAAAGTTACAACAGCACTGAGAAAAGTAACTTTTGACTGTTTTTCATACTTATAACCATTGCGTCATCCTCATGGTCATGTGATGAATATTCAGACACTTGGCAATTAACTCATATTTATGACGGTTGCAGTGACTTGGGATCATGTGATCAGCTTTTGTGACCTTCTGACAAGCAAAGTCAATGGGGAAGCCAGATTCACATAACAACTATGTTGCTAACTTAACAACTGCAGTGATTCATTTAACAAATGTGGCAAGAAAAGTCATAGAATGGGGCAAAACTCACGTAACAAATGTCTCGCTTAGCAACAAAAATGTTGGCTCAATTGTGATATAAGTCAAGAACTATCTGTTTTCATCTTACTACATTCATCTTATAAGATACTATCTCTCAGTTGTTAGGATGTATTAAGAAAATATCAAAGGAATATGATATCAGATAGGCAAGGAATGGGTAATTACAAAGTTCAGCTATCTTACCCCTTTCCAAATTCCATCAAGGAATTGTTTATAAAGTTCCTACGGACAGTAGAAATGGGCTTCTAATTGTTAATAGTTTAATTGAAGGATGATAATGATTATACTGATACATTGTTAGAAAATTATTTCCCTGGAATAAACCGAAGTGGGAATTGGAAGTTAAAATTAATGATCCATGTAGTTAATGAGAAAATGGTAATTTATTTAATTATTTCTTAAATCAATCTATATATCACTTTCCATATATTTCTTGTAATAAAAATAAGAACTTGAGACAAATCCATATTTGTGCTTATTTCATGTGTTTGATTACTTAATGCATCTTTTGTTCACTTTAACGATGCAGTGTTCTTCTTTTTCCTTTTTTACCCAAAAGCAGTTTGGAATACAGTATTCTTGGAGGCTTTCTCCTTTTGACAAATAATTTCAATTCAGAAGATTATATTGATCAATGAAATTAATTCATTATTCCATGAAGTCAAATCCGCATTTTAAGAATATATTATGCAGATTATTTAAAATATTTTTTTTCAAGAAATCCCACCCCCCCAAATTACATTTTAATTTACAAAAATATTTGCAGCAAGTAGTTTTGGGGATCAAAGAAAAGTCTTTTCAAACCTTTTTGTGAACAAGCATTCAGTCTATACAGGAATACATCCTACACAGAGACAGCATGCAGAATGAAATCAGCTTTCATTAAATTGATTAAAATTTTGATGACTTGTACAATATACGATGCCTGTCATTTTAACATGATATGCCAATAACAGAAGATAATGAATTAAGTTCTGCGCAGACCTCTCCCCCTGGATGATGTTAGAGAGGTTGCTAATTAGTTCTAATATGCAAATAGTAAAACTGATAACTCTTCAAAGTGATATAAAACATCTAGTATGTTTATGGATTGTGATTATATCAAGAGACAAATTTTAAAAAAAACCTAGACCCTACTACACACTTGTATTCCATCTCATGAAATGAAGATTGATATAAAATTGTTAATGTGTGTAAACCTCCTTTGTTTATACATAACTAGATGGACATATCTATAGCTCCTGTTTTGAATTTTAAATTTCTCCTTTTCACAGAGAACTTTCTTCAGCTGCGCAAGGACAACTGAGCTAAGGAGACGTGACTAATTCAAACTT